CATTTTTGACCTGGGAACTGAGTTAACTGAAAACCAATGTCAAAGTGCGTGTGCGTGTGGGTCCCCCAACCCCCTGAGGTTCCGAGCATGGAATCGGGGAAGCGCTTCCTAGAGCCCATGACGGCCGCGATGGTCGTGTGGAAGCGGATGCTAACAAGCAGCTACTAGGAGCTCCGGGCATCGCTACTAGGAGCAAGAAGCTACTAGGGGCGCTCCTGGCCATACTACTAGTAACAAGAAGCTACTACTATGATGTGTGGCTGTCATAGATTCTAGATTCAAGGCACATGTAGACTGTAGGCACCAACCCCAGTCGGGATGTTTGTGGACTATGCTGTAAAATTGGACTCCTTAAAAATGGTCTATGGATGTCTATGGATGTCTATGGGTTCTTCTGAAGCTGCCGTGCATGTCGTGAAGGCAGGGAGTCTGGAACCTGCCAAAAAGAACGAACATCAAGCCTTCCCACAAGGTGTACATTCCACATGAAAAAAACGAGAAGCACTTGAACACCCAGCTGGAAGCCTACAGTAGCAATTCCTGGTTGGAGGGAACATGCGCTCACAAACCATACAGTTGGCATCGCTTCAGGACACGTCTGGGGCTTTCTTTATTGACACGTTCCACCGGGCCTCCGGTTCCCGGTGCAATCAACCAAGCACAGGCCACCGCAGCCTACTGCCGGATCGCATCTCCCGAAGTGTCGGTGGTTCACCATGTGTATACTTAAGTACACCGAAATGATTGATGCTAGTAAGTTGTCTCAGGCTCTTGGAAATGCTCGACAATTCATTGCCGGGTCCCTCAAGGAGCAGCACACTTCGGCAGGTTCCGGTTTGACCAACCGAACCGCGCCTGCCGCTAGCTGGGCCACCTGCAAGTTCAGTCGGATGAGGCTAAAGTCCCAGGCATTCCTGGCAACGGTTGGCCAACTCAGAGTCTCGGACATCTGGGCACCTGGCCAAGGACAACACTGCACAACACTGCTGGGTAGTGGATTGGAGAGGCACCAAGTGTTTTGTCAATTGCAAGCCATTAGACCTGAAATAGATTCATTAGGATGTTCAATGGCTTATGCATCTATCCCATCATTCTCACGACGAAATATTCTAGTATTTTGCACATGTCTGCTACGTAGTCCAATTGCCCATTGCTACCAGCATAATTAGATCAAAATCGCTTGGATCAAATCTGTTCAGTTACCCAGCAGCTTCAGAGCTCCGCCGATGTCCTTTGAGAGGTGTCCTCCCGCGCTGCACACCCACTCCAGCCAGTGGAGGGTGCCTATGTCCATCCACCGATTTGAAGTAGCAGGTGCCGTCGAGGTCTTTTGGATTCACATACCAAGCCTCATGGGATGCAAGTCTTTGGCAGAACGCAAGTCGTTGGTCTTTGTGTCCCGGAGGCGTCTTTTCGTTGTTCTTCACACTGCTTTCGTTGCCCGAAGTTGTGGTCCTTCTAACCCCAAAGGTCTCAAGACTTGGTTTTGAACCAACATGGTTAAATTGTGTACAATGCGGTACAGGACAATAGAGGTGTACCAAACTAGGATTCTCTGGGACTTCCTGCCCCGGCTCGGAGATTGGCCAAGAGTGGCCACTGGGGCCGCAGGGCGCGCCTGGGCGACGCGATCACCAAACGAGGAGTTCGACGCGATCCGTGCGCGGCAAAACTAGCCCTTTAAACTGAGCTTCAACAGCAAGCGTTGCTGAGGTTAAAATATTGTGGAAAGCGCAGAAGAACACCGAAACAAACACCGTCTGAAGCCTGTGCGGCGCAAGAAATTTGAGTCTTGGCTCACAAACCATCATAATAGACCTATGGGTACCACTTGGCTGGCCGGCATCTTGCCTAGCGGTTCTCAAATGCCAGTCTCAAAGGATGACGAATTTAAGGATTAATTCCCACGCCCAAGTGGGCATCCACGCATGAGCATTGTCTTGTTTGACTACAGGGCTTGTACACTGAAACAAACCTACCCAGCTGTCTTCGCAAGCTTTCTCGAGACGCATTCCTCTGCCAAGGATGACTTTGTGCCTTAACGATTGTGTCATATGGTGCTTCAGTTGCCTTCACGAAGAATCATTGTGGGGCCTACGCCTTCTGCTTTTGCATGCCTTCGTGCATGCTAAAACTGCCTTCAAGGGCCAATATGCATGCAGCTCCACTTTCAATTCATATAAAGGTCTGCCAATTTGAAAAAAGACATGCTCGACATATCTCGACGACTTTTCTGGGCATCCACACGCACGCCCAGCAAATTCTGAATCTTGATGAATACTGATCAAGTAGTTGGCCTCATCGAGCGATGTCAAACGAAATTGTTTCAGAGCCAAGCAGTTGATTTGTGTCCGTTGTCTAACACGAGGAGCCCCTAGTTGCTTCTTGTTACTAGTAGCGTCCTTGCTCCTAGTA